TATAATTATAAAATTGTAAAAAAAAAATATAACTTAACTTTAACTTAAAATTATAACTAAAATATAAAAATAAAAGCTAATTCAAATATTAATAAAATAATAGATATAAGAATATATAAATAATAATAAAATAAAACTGTAGGTAAGTTGTCACAATGGGACCTGCCATAAACAAACTATTGGATTTTCAGCTAAGTTTAAACAGTAAAACAATTATTAGTAGTAGTAGTATTAGTATTTAATTATTAATAATTAAAAGATAAATTTAAGAGGTAACATAAAAAAATATAAAACCATTGTTTTGGGACATTTATGAAATAACTCTTGTCCTGAGAACATTTAAGATGATTTTTAACTCTGCATTTAAAACCAACACACTGAACTGCTGGAGAAAACTTTTGTAATAAGACTTTAGAATTGAAACCTTATGAAATATAAACCTTGTGACAACTTCCTTGTGTGACAGCTATCCTTGGTTGCCTCTAAATACAGTGAATAAATGTGTGAATGATTTTTTTGCCAGATGTTACCTGATTTTGTGGTCAATATGTGCTTCATCTCATGGTCAGAGTGGCTTGTTTTATATGTCAAAGGGATGTGCCACAGGTAGCTATGGAAAATAATTTTGTATTTCTGTTATGAAGAGTCCTATCAGTCATATTTTTACTGCCCTTAAAATTGTAGTATAACTATAAAACATAAAGACAGAAAGAACTACAGAATCAAACAATGAGCCCATGTGATTTTGTAGTGTTTTACCCTTTTTGAAGTGAATGCCATGAGGGATCATCAGGCAGGACTATCTTTAAGAAGCGCTCTTGCCCAATATACAGTTTCCTTCCTTGCCGCTTCACTGTGATCAGCGGTATGCCCTTTTGTATAGTCCACGTATACATCATTTTCTTCAGGTCTATATGCTCCCCAGCAAAACGATACTACAATGCAAAGAGTTACACAAGGAGATTTTCACAATGTTAAGTATCACCTTCAAAGTGCAAGAAAACATATTGAAGAATGTCGTTCATTATCCGTATTCTGTGTTTATGGAGTGCTGTGAATTATAAATAGCAAAAATCGAGTATTTCATTCATGATGTGACATCTTTACCGCATTTTTAGTGGCTTGTGTACTGCTGTAACAGTATTCTCCTGCTGTAAAATCCTCCTCTGAACATGTCTGTGAGAGTGAGTGAAGTGAGCATGACTTTTTGTTTTGATGCTGAATTATAAATGTATGACAGAAAAAGGCAGCAGATGAAGTGACATACTTTAATAAGGCTGTCCCACAGGTCTTCATTTCTGGCATTGCTATACCTGAACCTACGAAGGTACCGAATTATGCCTGTCTGAAAGCCTTCACTTGTCAAGAAATTCCTCAGCATATGGAGAATACATGCTCCCTAAAGTATTCAGTAACAAAGTAGATGAATGCGATTAAACAAAATAATTCAGAATGGTAATAACGTTTTAACATTGCTGAAGTGTTTTCCCACCTTGTCATATGACACGGTATCAAACATTTCCTTTATCTGAGTAGGGTTCTCAGCTAAACTGGAAATTGGCCTGGAAGAATTTAGAGAATCCCGTCCAATAGCTCCGAAACAGGTGTCCAGGAAGTGGTCCTCCTAACATGCAAAAGAAAGCATGTGAGACCCTATTCAAAACTAGTTTGTCTATAGAAGTATTGGTGTGAGTATGTATGTATGTATTTATTAATATTAATACATTTTTCAATTATTGCTTTATCGGCAATTCACTTTGGCCGGTCGCATCATCCTGATATTATTGGCTGTCATTTATAGCAACACTGTACATCAGTACACTTGAAACCACCGCTACTTTTAAATGTCCCATTATCATTATCCCAAAAATAAGCCTCTTCATGTGGGTCTTAATCACCCTTCAGGGTTTACTAATGATAATGACCGCTTAACATCACACAACTTCCATTATAGAGAGAGAGATATCTGAAGCTTGAACATACAACTTTAAGCTCTGGATATACTGCCTCAAGTGAGACAAATTCCATATATCGGGCAAAGCCTTCATTCAGCCATATATCATTCCACCACTCCATCGTCACCAGGTTTCCAAACCACTGGGGGGGGGAAAACAGCAGAAAAGTGACTTAGATTCAGTAGCACTGTAATTCATTGGCTTAACTAATAACAGATGAGACTGAGAATGTGTTTTATATATAAAACCTGATGGGCCAGCTCGTGTCCTATCACCATGGTAACCCAGAGCTTATCGGAGGCTGATGAGATGTCAGGGTCATACAGAAGAGATGTCTCCATATAAGTAGTCAAACCCCAGTTTTCCATAGCGCCTGACTGGAAATCTGGAATCGCTATCAGATCTGGAACACATCATAAAATAAACAACAGTGTAAATATCCAAAGGCACATCATATAACTTATGCACTGAAACACCAGAAGGAAAGGTAAGGAACAAACCAGATGCACTCACCCAGTTTTGGCAGCGGATAAAGTATGTTGAAATATTGTTCATAAAACTCCATAAGCCTCAAAGCAGCCTCAAGAGCATAGTGCGTCTGATGCCATTTTTCTGGAACTGCATAAATAGAAATCTTTGGGGGAAGAAAAAACAGCTCATTCAAGATGCATTTCTCACCCGAGAGCCTGTGATGAAAACTTTATAAAAGCAGAAAAAGCTGTTGTGTTCACATGTTTCTGCTTCATGCTGTTTAACCCTCTCTAAGCTCTAGTTACTTACATTAATTCCGGTTGCAGTCATCCCACTAACAGATCTGAAGTCACAGACAATGAAGGCCAACAGGTACGAGCTCATCTTCACACTCACTTCAAACTGGTCCTCAAACAGACCGTTGCCAATTTCCACAGTTTGTTCCTATAAAATAAATATTTTCAACATGTAAAAATGATAGACCATGTTTTGTGTATTTGATAAATAATTTTTCAAAATGGTTTCATATAAAAAAATCATATACCTATTATTATATTAACTATTATTATTGATAATAATAGTAATAATTTTCAAATCATTTAGATTTTACAAATGGGTCTATACATTTATACAGTAGATAAAAATAACATTTTCAAAATGTCAAATTATCCCATTTTTTATATATTTGTTCAATATATTTCCCCACATTGTTTACAAGTGATACAGTTTTCCAAATTTATTATTATTAATTTGTAAAATAATAATTTATATTAATTTATTAATAATAATTACAAATAATAATTGTGATGTAAATTTGGTTTTACAAATGGGCCTATACATTGATAAATTAGATTTAAAAAAAGAAACATTTTCAGAATTTCAAAATGTTATCCCATCTTTGTTTCATGTATTTTTTCTATATATTTTTTCCATTCAAAGTAAATTAGATTTACATCGCCTGTTAAATTGATAAAGTAGACATATAAAGTGATCTTACTAATGGCATGTTGGACAAAGCTATATGTGACGGGCCCCTCCGTATTCTGACAGTGTAATTAGCTTTGAAAATGGGCTCATCGAAGCATGGCAATGCCATTCGGGCAGATGTGGGCTCAAAGTGGGTGGATGCCAGGACCCTTCAGGGAGGAAAATTTAGTTATTTAGAAATTATTTGCAATCTATTCTATGTTATGTTTTTGCATGATTTATGTAATGTTAGATTTCAACAATTTTTACTATACCTTGTCTCTCCTGCTTTTGTCTTATATGTACTCTTATAAAATCCATAGAAGCCATCACTTAACGGTGCACCAAATTCCAAATGCAGGAAGTATTTTTCCCCAGAGGTCAGAATCTTTGGGGAGAAGATGGCGATCTGTTCATGTGAAGGATATTCCAGCACCGAGAGCACTTTGTCTGACAAATGGGCCTCGTGCTCATCCAGAACGGTGGCGGTGAAGATCTTGAGGTTCTTGCTGTGTAGCACCACCCAGTTTGTGTTGTTTTTAACATCGATTTCGATCTTCACAGATCCATTGAACCTCAGGGTGGTGAGATTGGGATGAATAAGTAGATGATAATGTACAGGCACTATGTAGTTTGGCAGGCGCACTTTACTCCATGGAAAAGGAAGGCCGTTTGTCGCCAGGTTATCGCCAGCAGGACTATTGCTGTCAGAAGTCTGGACACAAAACCGTGCCTCCAGAAAGAACAGGATTACAAGCAAGAGATGCATAATGAATGTTTTTGGTGTTGCTGATTTTGATGGTGATCACTTTCGCATTTTAGAATGGTTAGAAATTGTCACTGTATCCTGTGAAAAGAAAAGCAAAGTTGACGCTCACATGGTGTGTAAATAATTGAAGTAATTGTTTCGTTGTTTTTACTGCACTTAATACCAATAAATCCTTCTTCATTTGTGGTGGCAAGTCATGTCCCTTTGCAACAGTTGAAATAAACTTGAAATACCAAATTGTTTTAAAAAATACTTTTTTTATTTTAAGAAAAAAGGATTGTACCCCAACTTTACGTCTGTTGTGTTACAAAAATGGAATATAAACTCAGATTTTCTCTGAATTATGAGTTTGTATCTCGCAATTCTGTTTTTTGTTTCCGCCATGAAATAGAAAATTTAAGAATAGATAATTATGACTCTTCTTTCTTCTCAGAATTCTCAGAGTTTATATGTCCAGTTCTGATTTGTCCTAAGAATTGCAAGAAAAAAGTCGCAATAACCTTTTTTTTCATCCTGCGGTGGAAACAAGCTTCCAAAGCGGGGTGCATGCATGGTGAGTTCAGTCTTTCTCATTCATTTTCATACATTTCTGACAATTTCATGTATCACACTTAATTAGAAGCTGTGGTGTTACACTGCTTAATATTTCCAAAAATTTCTGTGATCTTGAAACTATCATGATGGCAGCTCTGGGCCCTGTTTTAGAAAAGTCTTTATTTGTGCTAAGTAGTTTGCACCATTGCTAATAGGCATAAGCACAGGTATTTGACTAAAATTAAAAATCTAAAAGCCAATAAGCTTTCATTTGACTAAATATAGTCTATTAAACAGATTTTAAATACATTATTATTTTAAATTTTTTTATTTTTTTATTTTTATTTTTTACAAATTCTGCTTTTCGTTTGCCACTCTTAACTGAAGAATGACCTACATTTCATCTTTACTTTGCAATTCACACTGAGCATGTGTCATTCACAAAACACTGTAGACATGTTAGCACGTTTGAATTATCAAAATGCTAATTAAAATAAAAGACAACAAACGAGTGTTCTTAAAATAACACGCATGGCAACACAGAGCAGTGCTGAGCGACCGTTCTCTGTAATGTGAGCCTATATTCACGTTAATACATTGACATCTGCTGTGATACAGTACGAGCTCTCTAGCTGTATTCTGGCATTTGTTTGTGTCACTATGATATGGTCTCTGTAAAGTAGGACAAGCATCTACTAACAACATTATTGAAGAACACACTCTTTTTAACCATTCAGTGTTGTGTCTTTACCTGAATTTTAGCTGGATCATTGTGTCGGCTGGTTTCATTTTCTCTTTCATTTGTCCTGCCCACAATTTCCTGGTTTGCTGCAGTAGCTGCCGAGCATGTGCTGCTGTCTGGCCGTGTCTCTGTATTCAAATGACAACACAGTGGGGCTCGAGCCACCGGACAGAGGAATGACCTACAGCCATCAACACGTACAAACACTCAGCTCATGTCCGAGTTGTAAACATGCCATGTGTCATGTACTGTGACAGAACAAAAACAATGAAGTTCTTTGTTGTTTTGACTGTTGTATGATAGTATATAGAGACAAAAACAACCACTGGCAGATAAATTAATTTTGCTTTGTACTTTTTTTTATTTTATTTTGGCTTTTCAATACACATTACAAAGTGTTGTTTTTCTATATCTTAAAAAAAAAAGGGACACAACAACAACAATTAATATTATCATCATTATTGTTGTTGTTGTTGGCACTGTTGTTATTTAACTTGGCAAAAATATTTTAGTTTATCGCCAATAGTTGTATTTTACTTATTTGAGCTAATAACTCAATTTTTGTTTTGGTCTTTCACGATATTCAGTGATTAATGAAGTTGTAAATGTGTACAGAAAAAAATATCTTCGCAAGCCCTGCTATAATTTAAATCAAACTAGAAAAGTATTATAGGCAAAACACATATTGCATTCAACACAATAATGAATGAATAATCTTAAAACAAACAAACAAACAAACAAATGAAAGGACCCCCTGGTAGCCATCATTGCAGAAGTGAGGGGGACACCAATGTCAATAGTAATACTTTTTTATTATTCTTTTTAAGTTTATTTATTTATTTATGTGTTTGTTTTTGGCCTAATTGACAAGTTTAATGTTTGTATAATCTCTTACTTTAATTGGCTTAGGATGTCTTTTTCAATTTTTATCACAGAATAAGGCAGAAAATATTTATTAGTTTCTATGCTGTAATAAATTATATGTCAGTTAGCACTGCATTATTCATATACTTTATTTATTACCTGGAGATGACTTGAAAAACACACATAAACCATATATTGTTGCAATCGTGTGTTTGTTGTCTTAACGTTTCTTAAGTCAAAACGTTTCTGCTTTTTATTCAGCTCTGCTACAGCGATAGCTGGATGCCTTTGTCCATATTAGGGCTTTCCTGGCACGTCATAAGTTATTACTTCTACTATTACTTTGAGTATGAATGAAACATACGCTGCGTGAGAGTGTTTATCGCTCCATAATAATCACATTGCCTCATTTTGGATACGAATAAAACTTCAGGTCATGCATAGACTATCTTGTCTCTTAGATTTATTCACACTAGCCCTTGAAAACTTCTATATGAACACACTTGGCCGAAAAAAGTGCGGGGGATTCTACACCCATGGAAAGGACTGTGTAATACTGCATAATTATTTTGGTATACTTATTAAAATAAAACAGTAATGGTAGCTAAAAAGTTCACCATTTTAAATAGTAATTTTTTTTCCACAACATTACTGTTTCTACTGTATTTATAATCAAATATATTCAGCCTCAACTTCTTTCAAAAACATAAAAAATCTTACCAACCCCAAACTTTTGAAATGCACAGTGTAGAAACAATATTCACTTAAACTACTATAGTAAATTTCACAACTAATTACAAAGAAACAAGTAACACTCTAAACTAAACATGACATTTTGAAGTAGAATGACTGAAATTTTCTTGTAAAACATCTTTGTTTTATATATTACATCGAAAACATTTTACGTTGTAGTGTATTTTTTAAAAACAAAGGACAAAAACCACTCAGTTGTTGTAGAAATAAGAGTATTTTGAATGATATGATGAAGTGAAATGCCTTTTGGACTGAGTGATTGCTAAATATGTTAGTAATTGTGCTAGCTTCCCTATAAACTCCACAACTCGACTCAAACTTTTCCATCATTACTTAAGACTTGAACCTGACTTGCAAAAATTGACCAGTGTCCAGTGATTGCTGCTACTTTCGTTTGTAAAAGACTTTTAGTAAAGAACAACCTTTGTCCTATACCTGATCAAAACATTCTTTGAAAGTGCAGTTTTATTTCATCCAGATGTACAAAGCAGCAGGTATTAATATGATCAGTCTCTCACCACAGAAGAAACCAACATAAAACAGGTGTGAATCGAACAAGCTCCACTTCAAGTTCTCACAAGTATTTACAACATATCACACCAGAAAGAAAATTTTTATGTCTATCATTATATAAAAATACATACTTTGTCTGACAAATATTCTGAAATTCAAATGAGGATGGAACTGGAGACAGTGAGGTGAATGTGCAGATTGTGTACGCTCTTTTTAAATGTTGAATTGCAAGCAAGTTATTTTATCCCATGAATGAAACCTGATGCCAAAATAAGAGTACCGGAGTGTTTAGCAGCACATGTCTTTGTGTTCTCATTTTAGTCCAGCCATACAGTATTTTGGCACAGCTCCCCTGAGACCAACACAAACAATGGAAAGATTCCATGGCGGGTGTGAAATCACATGACTGAAACGTGATAATCCTTTCCACCGGCTGGCTGAACTCACAGAGCTAGACAACATCAAAATGCTTCCTACCCTCCTCACCACCATGCTTTTTACAAGTAAGTTGTAGAGTTTATAGGGAAGCTAGCACAATTACTAACATTTGTAGCAATTACAAAGCTCAGGTAAAGGCACTTCATTAAATCATATAATTTCAAATACTGTATTTCTGCAATAACTGGGCTGCTCTTGTCGTTTGTTTTAAAATATATACTACACTGTAAAAATGTTTTTTTATGTTGTTAATAAAGATTTTACAAAATACCATTCAGTCTTTCTATGTCAAAATTTCACATTTAATTCAATGTGTTACCGTTTCTTTGTAATTAATTGAAATTTAGCAGTTTCTAGGTGAAAATGGTCACTACAACTTTTAACAGTGTACAGTTAAAATGTTTGGGGTTGGTAAGATTTTTTAATGTTTTTGAACGAAGTCTCATAAGGCTGAGTATATTTGATAAAATACAGTAAAAACTACTATTTTGAAATATTATTACAATTTAAATTTCAGCATCATTACTCCAGTCTTCAGTGTCACACGATCCTTCAGAAATCATTCTAGTGTGCTGATTTGGGGATGAGAAACATTTCTTATTATTATCACTGTTAAAAACAGCGTAATATTTTTGTGGAAACTGTGAAACTGGCCCCAAACATTTATAACCATCTACACTAATACTAACATTTCTGAATTTTGTTCTCATCTCTGAAGTGGGATCAGACGCTGTCCCTTATGCCATCTTATCTCCACCATTTCACTTGAACACTGATCTCAGAGGCTTGACCATCCTGGTGTGTGTGCTTCATGACATTCATCAAGGAGAGCTGGAGGTCACCTGGATTTCTAGTGGCACCAGAGGAACTAATCCAGCAGTCCCTAACTTACTCCCAAGGACACAGTGGCATTCAGAGCACAATGTCTGTTATATCTGTGCCCACGAGTGAATGGATGTCCTACACCTGCTTTGTGAGTCACAGAGGCTCCGATCAACTCATGCACAGACATTATGCTGGACTCCCAATGGAGGCAACTGGTAAACTCATCATCATTATTATCATTATTGCATCATTATATATAAAATGGGTTCCAATTATTAACATTTGTTAGCTATTAGTTCACATGAACTAACAATAAAAATACATTTTTCTTAGTTCATGTAGTAATTTGAACATTCACTAATATACTATTATAATCCAAAGTTGTATCTGATAATACCTGAGCTAACATGAACTACTGTAACAATGAACAGCTGTATTTTTTTTATTAACTACCATTAACAAAGATGAATAAATGCTGTAACAAACGTATTGCTCATTGGTAGTTAATGTTAGGTAATGTATTAACTAAAGGGACCATTACTGTAAAATGTATTACTAATAAGCTTTTCATTTCAGAAACGGCTGATGATGAAGAAATGTCTGATACGTGTTTGGACAATCAAAGCAGTTTTTTGGAAGGTACAGTACATTAGTTAATCCTAAAAAATGAATTCTGTGTTTGATTTGTACTCATTTTTCTGTACTGTTACAGATGTTCGAGCAAAGAAAGATCTATTATTTGTTCAAGCTCTCAGAATGATCCTCCTCAAAATCACCATTTTCAACGTTTTGATGACAGTGCAAGCCGTCATAAAGTGGTAAGTGCTCATATTACTGCAAATGCAATGCCAGTAGTGAAATAATTTGTGCACATTTTTCACAATTATACTGAAACCTGTCATATTTCTCGTCTGCAAAACTGCAGAGTTTCAAAAACAACTGCCACGGATGTCAGAGTTAATTGGACGTGCTGCTGGAGGTTTATAGCAGGAGGAGGAATTCAAGTTGATGTAAATGAGAATCTGGAATGTTGATGAGGGTCTCGATGAGCTTCAGAGCAACATCACGCCACAAGACGCAGGTGCTTCGGTATGTGGGCAGATGAGTGTGATAGCTGCTCAAAACCACATCATGTACACAATACAACAAATGCACTGCACTACAAGCTGCTTTTGTAGGCCATTGTCAAAAATAAAAGCTTTAAATGGCATTGTAAAATCAGCTTCCACTAATGTGACACTGTTGAACTCTTGAACGTGACAATGATGAACATTTGATGAAACTCTCTGTATGGCATATGAATGAGATCATTGTGCATAACACTCTATCAAAGATTGAGAATTCATTTCATTTTGGGAGATTTGTGAATGTGACAGTGCTTCATCAAGATTTTTTTGCATTTATTTTTGGAGCATAAATATTCACAATTTGTTTTAATTACACTACCGTTCAAAAGTTTGCTGTTTGTAAGATTTTATAAAATGCTTTTTAAAGTCTCTCCAAGCTCACCAAGGCTGCATTTATTTGATCAAAATACAAGAAAAACAGTAATATTCTGAAATATTATTAACCTTTAAAATATGTGTTTTCTATTTGAATATATTTTCAAATGTAATTTATTCAAGTGATTTCAAAGCTGAATTTTCAGCATCATTACTCCAGTCTTCAGTGTCACATGATTCTTCAGAAATCATTCTAATATGCTGATTTGCTGCTCAAGAAACATTTCTTATTATTATTATCAGTGTTGAAAACAGTTGTGCTGAATATTGTCGTGGAAACAGCGCAACATTTTTTTTCACAATT